TTGAAATGGAGTCTTGCTCTGTCACCAGACTGGAGTGCAGTGGCACAATCTCAGCTCACTCTTGCCTCCACCTCCTGGGTTCAAGCGATTCTTCTGCCTCAGCCTCCCAAGTAGCTAGGACCACAGGCGCGTGCCACCACGCCAGGCTAATTTCTGTATTTTTAGTAGAGACGGGGTTTCACCATGTTGGCCAGGATGGTCTCGATCTCTTGACCTCGTGATCTGCCCACCTCATCCTCCCAAAGTGCTGGGATTACAGGCGTGAGCCACTGCACCCAGCCAGGCTCTGCTTTATTAGTGGCCACTTGATTCATCTGTGTGCCTGTTTGGCACTGTCTTAATTACTACAGTTTCTTGATAAGCCCCCATGTCTAGTAGGGCAAGTCACATCTTTCTGCTCTTGTATATTTACAGTGTACAATTTGTTAAGTTTTGACAGATGTATGTACCCAGGTCCTGGCTTTTTATTTTGGCTGCTTATTTTCCACTGTAAGTTTTAGAATTAGCTTATGAATTCCATGAGAAACTTTATTGGTGTTTTGATTGGAACTACATTAAATCTGTAGACCAGCTTGGAGATCATTGACATCTTTGTAATATTAAATCTAACTTTTCCACAACCATGGTAATCTTCTCTGTTAATAAATTGTCCTAAATATGGTTCATTTGTAACTTTTTTATGGTTATATAGATTTTTCTGAAGAGAATATATATATCTTTTGTTGGAATTATTCTTGGGTTCTTGATAGTCTGTGATACTACTGGAAATTATATTTTTCTGAAATTACATTTTCTCTTTGTTTCACTTGGTATATTCATTACACTTCCAGCCACTTTACTAAACTGTACTATTATTTCTGTTAATTTGCCTATACATTCCTTTGGATTTTCTACACGAATGATCATATCATCAGCAAATAATGGCAGTTTACTTTCCTTTTTTTTCAATCTTTAAGCTTCACATTGCTTCTTTTTATTTAAGTGCCTCCAACACAGTGGCTATTCTTGTTTTGTACCTGATTTTAAAGGATGTAGGATGATGCTGGAAGGTGTTTACCTGAATGGTTTCTTTTTAATATTGATATTCTTTATCAGATTAATTTTTTTCCCTAACTTACCAGGAGTTTAGATTTTGAATCTAAACTGGTGTTGAATCTTAACAAATATTGATTGAGATGACTTTTGTTTGTGTATTTTAATCTGTTAATATTGATAAATTTTGGATTTTCTAATATCAAATCATCCTTAGATATCTGAGATAAACTCAACGTGGGTGTGGCGTATTATCTTTTCATAAATATTGTTGCATCCAGTTTGCTTTCATTTTAGTTAGGATTTTTGCAACTGTATTCATGAATAAGATGAGTGTGTAACTTTCCTTTTAATATTTTTGTCTGATTTTGATTTCAGGATTGTGCTGGGTTTGTAGAATGAGTTGAGACAAGTCCATCTTTTTCTACTGTTTGAAAGTTTGTGTTAAACTGGGATTTTTTTTCTTGAAAATTTTATGAAACTCTAGTAGTTTTTTTTTCTAATTGCTTCATTTCTTTAATAATTATGTAACTATTTGAGCTTTATTCTTGAGTTAAATTTTTCTAGGAATTTTTCCATTTTATCTCATTTTTCCAAATTATTGACATATAGTTATTGGTAATATTTTCTTTTAAGTCCATTTTATCTGCATGTTTTACTTTTCATTCATGTCAGTTTAAAAAAAAAAAAAATCTGTTTCTTTATCAGCCTAGCCAGAAGTGTGTTTATTTTACTGAAGTTTTTCAGAAAACCAACTTCTAGCTTTATTAATCTTCTCTGTTACATCTTTGTTTTCTATTTTATTGATGTTATTCTTAATCATGTTTTTAATCTTTCCATCCAATTTCTTGGGTTCTTTTTCTAACTTAAGATGGATACTCGGTTCATTTGCTTTCAACCACTCTGAATCTGTTGCCTATAAAATGAAGATAATGATGCTGCTCTAACTCCTGGGGTTACTGTGAACCTCCAGTGAGAAAGTGTTTTGTGAACTATAAAGCCCTTGTCAGTCTTGAGTTTAATGAGATTGCAAAGCCCGCCCAGCCCCATGGTCTTCCCTAGTTCTCGTCCCTTCCCTTGCCTGAGCTGCATTTGGAGTGACTGTTCTCTTTCCTGAACTGCCTTATTGCTTATAGCATCATACATTCATTTGGGGTTTGTTATGTGCTTTTTGTGATGATACCTTCATGTGAGTCTATATCTCTTCCCCTTTATTACTGGACGCTATGGTCTCTGAGGGTATAGGATGAGTCTTAAACCTCTTTGCATCTCAGTTATTATTATTCATTCTACACTTTTTTATTGCTTTGATCATTCAGGAAACACACCATCTAGCTCAGTTTTCTGAAGACACCAAAAATTACCTATAGTTTTTTTCCCAAAATATGTAAAGGAGTTGGAACTTATTTATAAATTCCTTTGTAACTCTGACATTATCTGTGTTTTGGTTTTTTTTGTTTGTTTGTTTGCTTTGAGATGGAGTTTCACTCTTGTTACCCAGACTGGAGTGCAATGACGTGATCTTGGCTCACCGCAACCTCCGCCTCCTGGGTTCAGGCAATTCTCCTGCCTCAGCCTCCTGAGTAGCTGGGATTACAGGCATGCACCACCATGCCCAGCTAATTTTACGTATTTTTAGTAGAGACGGGGTTTCACCATGTTGACCAGGATGGTCTCGATCTCTTGACCTCGTGATCCACCCACCTCGGCCTCCCAAAGTGCTGGGATTACAGGCTTGAGCCACTGCACCCGGCCCCTTTATCTGTTTTTAGACTGATTACATTAGTACCAAATCAATGGCTTAATTTTTTATGTATTATTTACTCCTCATGCTTGGGTGAAAGGGGAGAATTGTGTTGTATTCTTCTGACTGTGGGAAGACAGTTTGTTTTGTTGGTTTTGCAGGCCGCTCCGGGGAAAGTGACTGAGGCGGTGAAGGTGGCCATTGACGCAGGCTACCGGCACTTTGACTGTGCTTACTTATATCACAACGAGCATGAGGTTGGAGCAGGGATCCGTTACAAGATCCAGGAAGGTGTTGTGAGACGGGAGGATCTGTTCATTGCCAGTAAGGTAGGGCTGCTCTGTGCAAAGCCAGCAGAGCTTGAGTAATGCTACATCTCTGAAGGGCTTTCCACTTTCCTTATGGGAGTTGATGACTCTGTTTCACACTGAAATCAGAATAAACAAGAATATTCACAGCTTCATGAGCATGCTGAATTATATTGTGTACAGATTTGTTTCATATTATTTACTTGGTCATTCAGGTGGGAGTGTACCAATAAGCCCCAATTAACAATATATTCTTCAAATTGATTGAGCGAGGGGCACTTTGGCTACAGTGGTGAGTAGGAAAAAGTCATTGCCTTCACGAACTCTGTCTACACAGCAATTCCTAAACTCAGAATTACTGGGGTGATTGTTAAATACAGATTCCAAATTCTATCCCTCATCTGTTGAATGAGAAACTCTGGATGTGATGCAGATGGAGGCAGCAGCTTGAGCACAGGCATAAGACATGAAGCAGTATGACAGGTGCAAGGGTTTGTAAGGAGCTTGGTGTATTAGCCATTCTCATGCTGCTATAGGGACTTACCTGAGACTGGGTAGTTTATAAAGATAAAGAGGTTTAATGGACTCAGCTTCACGTGGCTTGGGAGGCCTCAATCATAGCAGAAGGCGAAGGAGGAACAAAGGCACATCTTACATGGTAGCACACAAGAGAGCATGGGTAGGCAAACTGCCCTTTATAAAACCATTAGGTCTCATGACACTTGTTCACTGTCACCAGAACAGCACCAGAAAAACCTGCTCCCATGATTCAGTTACCTCCCACTGGGTTCCTCCCACGACATGTAGGGATTGTGGAAGCTACAATTCAAGATGAAATTTGGGGACACAGCCAAACCAAACTACTTGGTCTTCCAGGACTACAGAATGTCAGGCTGCAGGAGTAACGAGAAGTGAGACTGAGTGGTGGATGGGGTAGGCCATGGAAGTTCAGCTGTGCCATGTCAGGAGCTGTGGGTATTAGGGATTGGATGGCTGAGGCTCACAGCTTCATTATTTGTAAAATGAGACTCTGGATTTGAGAATTTCCTGAGTAACTTCCCAGTTAAAATTTCAAACCCCAAGGCTCAATGTTATTTCTATAGTTGAATTGCCTTCTGTTTTACTTCATGGAAGTAAATGTTCATCAGTTACCATTCCTATCTGTGCTAGAGCAGAGAGTGGTAAGAGAGAAGGCTTGGTGTGTGCTTGCCCAACCAGGGAGAATAGTCCAGGTAGGGATGTGAGTAACTGGAGATTTCTAAGGCTTGCCCTGCAATTTGGAGCAAGTTGCTTCTGTGTGGATCGTAGTCAGCAGTGGAAATATGTTCATTATTTTGGACATTTGAAAAAGTCATAGAAATATAATCAAATAAATAAATCATACATATACACACCACATAGAGACAACTGTGATTAACAATGGAATGCATTTACTTCTGGTGTCTATTTTTTATTTTTGTTAATATGCTGTGCTCGTTTGTTTTCATTTATTTTACTCCCCTTTCTTTTACTTTCATTTAACTTATCATTTTTGTTTTTCCCTTGCTGTGATGGAGCCTTCAGGTTAGCTTCTATCACAGTCAAAAAAGTATAATGAAGGAAATAGGGGAAAAAAACAAGTTTTTCTACTAAATGGGACTGTGGGGGAAAATAGCTAAAAGAAGTAAGGCAGTGTGAGCTAACTCTCCTGGGTTAACCTGTACTGTTACAGTGCCTGACAAACAGAGAACCCTTAATATGGAGTATGTGTAAGTGAGAAAAACAAGGTAGAGATTTTTCTGATTTTTTGTCATATATTTTCTGCTTGAAGGAATTTCATTTTCTTTCTTTCTTTTTTTTTTTTTTTTTGGTCCCAATGGATCCAAATAACCATCAAATATCTCTTGGCATCCTGAGCTTCACTTGAGGAGTCAGGCTGAAGAAGCCCAGCTTTGGAGCCTCTCCCTGCAGGTGTCCTGGAACTCTTCTGAGGATAATGACTCTGTCCTTCTGTCAGAACGTGCCGTGTTGTATTTGTGGTCATCTCATCTTGGCTGTTTTTGGTCCAACACCGTAGCTTCGTGGGGCTACCGAATGGGTGCCGTGCTGGCTCTGGGTGGATGTATGTGACACTGGTCCCCTCTCCTTTGTAGCTGTGGTGCACCTGGCACACGAAGCCCTTGGTGAGAACAGCATGCTGCAGGAGTCTGAAGTCCTTGAAGCTCAAATATTTGGACCTCTACCTCATGCATTGGCCCATGGGTTTCAAGGTACTGTTCAGTAGGTGGTTCGTTCCCGGGTTTGCAGGACTTTCCTCCCTGTGGTCATACCCCGTCTTGCAGTGGGGAGTCAGGGCCAGGGTTCCAGGGCTGCATCTGCCACATGCTAGCTGCAGCCTTTGGTCAGGCCTCTTGATATCTGGGGGTCTTAGTTAAGGAGAGGCTTGGCTTGGAAGATCTCTGAGGCCTCCACAGTTCTTTCAAGCCAGTCACTTTTCCTCCAGGCCAAGAGAGCAACAGGTTTTTTCTCTTCAGTCTTTAGGTGAAAGCAGAGATCAGATGAAGAAACTGCTTCTCAGACAGTTTCCAGTGAAGTCCTAGGCCTTGTCTCTGGTTGCATGTTCTGTCCTCTGGGGAGTGAATGCTGTTTTGCAATATGGACAATATGTGCTTATTCACCTGCAGCAGGGTCCAGTGGGTTATGGTGGTAGTTGGCTTTTCCACTTGGTTTTATTCTCTAAATTGCGTCACGGTATGTCTGGAACATGCATCTGAGCCATGGCTTTGTCACTCAGCTACCCCGGTCTGGCCATGCAGCTTCCCTGCTCCAGGCAACCTGCTTCTCACACAGGTCCTGGCCAGGATGTCCCTGCACATTTGCCCTGGACCATGATGACAGCCTGCCTGGGCAAGGGCCTGATCACACAGGTAACACCTGTGAGATACAGAAGCCCTTGCAGGGATGTTCTCCCTACACTGGAGTGGGTGGCTGGTGCTCAGGGGTATTCCACATGGCCATCTGTGAGAGGGTCCCTTTGTGTGTGCCACGCTGTTGGTTACGGGTTCAGAGTGAAATAACAAAAACCACTTCCTTCCTAGCACAGCTTTTCTTAACCAAGGCTTTGGATCCAGTTTCCATAGATGATATGGGCAGCCATCCATTAGTCACACTGACCAGGAGTGGAAGATACCCAGAGGGCAAAACCAGAGGGGTGATTCTGAAAGATATCTATGTCTCTGAAATTCATCGCATACAGGAAGTCATGATTAAAACAATGGCTATAGCTATACTGTACTCATTGCCAGCCAGCATTGTTTGAATTATGTATCCAGCACTGTTTTAGGTGCTTTACACATAGTAACTCCTTTAATTCTCATGACCGTTTTACAGAGTTGACACTGCTAATATCCCTCTTGGACAGATGATGAAACTAAGACGCAGAAAGTTTCACATTGAAGTTATATTATTGGAGCCCAGAAGCATATGCTCAAGTCAGACGTTTCTTACACTTTGCTACCCTCATCCTTTAGGAGATCCCTGTCTTTCAATTTCTGGATGGGAGAAAAGGAGAAGGTCTCAGATCACAAAACAAATTACAGAAAAGGGTAATGCAGCAGCATCAGCATGTCTTCTGGCTAGTGGGAACTGCTAGGCCTGGTATGATGCTGGACGATTAGATCAGGGTCCGAGTATAAGGCCTAGGCAGCATTTTTGTGGACCCTTGGATAAATGTCAACATGGGATATGGCTTTAAAGCGAGACTGTTAGTTACTTCAGCTCATCATAGAAAATGCCTCTTTCATGTGGATTAGGCTGGAACATGTGACATTCTTCCACTGTTGCTTAGGAATATGATTAGGTGTCCTTAAATAAACATGCCCGTGCCATTCACCCTTAACACCGTGTGTAGGGCTGCGTGAGGGAGGTAGCTGGATTGCACATCCATGCCCCTAGCTTCTCTGAAAGGTGACTAGAGGTTCTCGCCTTTTCAAGGTGTCTCTCTGCCCTCCACCTCCTGTGCACCTTTGTATTCTCACTTCCTTACCTCTCATGATGATGGGGATTCTAAGAAAAGAAGACAAGACCCTATCAGTGGAGTTAGGAGAGGGCTGCTTGGGCCCTATAAGACATGAAGAAAATGCACTCCCCTCCCATTCTTTACCTGAAATTAGTAAACTGTTTTCTGGAGGCGATGAAAGAGAATGACCTTGCATCAGTGAGGATGCAAGGTCTTCCTTTCCCATCTTGTGAGAGATGGACAGTGAACATCAGGCTGGTGGAGGTTTTGCTAGCCACCCAGTTCATGAGCCCTTGATCTTTTCCTAGAAAGGTGAAGACTGGGCCTGGTCATATGGCCAGGCTGGGGTTGCTTAGCGACAGGGCCGTGGCTTGGATGCAGGTCTCCTGACACATGGAGTATTTTTTTTCATACTTCTCAACTCTCCTTCTTTGCAGCCTCCTCATCCAGCCTGGATCATGATTCCCAGTAAGCTCCTTTCCTTCTGCTTCTCACATCCTGGAGTATACGACTTGCCTCTGGACTGCACTGACATGGTCATCCCCAGTGACACAGACTTCCTAGACACGTGGGAGGTAAGCTGAGCCACACCACCAGGCAGCCTCATCTTGGGTGGGTCTCCATCCAGGATGCAGTGAGCTGCTTGTGTTCAAAGACATCGAGGTTGTCTACCTGAGATGTGGGGTTTGCAGTACACATGAGGAATCAATACCTGAAGAACTCAGACACCTCAGTGACTTTCTTGTTACCTTTGGTTTGGTGTGGTGCAGCTCTCTTGCCACTTTATTTGAGGGATAGCTCATTACAGATATCACTTTCTTTTTTCTCAAATAGTTTTTTAATTAAAAAAACACATTTATTTCAGAAAACACAGGAGAGTTCTTCCGTATTAAACTGACATTAAAAAATTTATTTTCCCGTCACCCGTTGGTACCACCATTAATGTTTTACAGTTCCTTTTTATTCTCTCTTAAGCATTTCAGAGTGATAAAGTTGGCAGCATGGAAGCTCAGGCTGGGGAGGTAAGACCAGTGTGAGGAGGCTTACCAAGTGTCTGCCCGTTTCCAGGGTTCAGACTAAAAACAGCCCTTTACTGCAAGGGCTTGCAGTAAAGTCTTGAGCAGGGAATTAAGGATGTGGTGGATTTGAGAGGCTTTTGGAAGTAGACCCACAGGCTGATGTGAGGCTTAGGCTTCGACTCCAGCATGGCTGACCGAGCATGTATGGTCATATGGTTTTGGTAACCAGCATGTAGGATGGGACATCATATTTGAGGCCCAAGAAGAAAGCGATTTCAAGCCTAAGCTTGCTAAGTTTAGAACAGAGCTTGCTGGGTGAAGCTCTCCAGGGAGGAGGCCAGAGGGACCCCTTGAACACAGAGGAGTCCCAGGCTAGGACCCCCATCAGCAGAAGACAAAGACTGACAGAGGGATCTGAGATGTCAGGACCAGGGCCCATGGGCGTCAACCCTTTCTGTTACACAGTTTTATCTCCTAAAAGATTTGGGTTAAACTCTAAGGTTCATGTAGCACCAGTGAGTGGCCGGTGATTGTTGCAGTTGAGGCAGTAACTCAACCACCGCATGTTGGCTCATTGGTCACTCAGGACTTGCCGCTGACCACGGACCCTGGCACAAAGCCATCCTCTTCCTGAAGCTCAGGGGCAGCCTGGCTTGCTGGTCATTGACCAGCTCAGAGCTTTAGGTTACTCTGCCCTCAAGTTCCTTAAAATGGTAGGTACAGAGGGTGGGTTAGGAGAATGATAATGCATCCGTGTGCTTAAGATCAGAGTCTTAGTGGAAAGAAAGGTGAACAAATAAAATCCGCAGCAGACATCAGGAGGAATAAGAACAGGAAGAGCTCACCTGTGTAGAGTGGTGGACGCCAGTCTTAGCTAACGTTTTTTGTGATTCCACATAACCCCTACATAGCCCTGTGGCACAGGCAGGGTTGCCCTATCCTGAAGCTGAGGAAACTGGGGCCAAATGAGGCCATGCAACTTTCCCAGCATCCCATGACTGGGATCATACCTTGAGTGCAGAAATGCTTCTGAAGCTTGAGGTAAAATATTGGGTGGAACCAGTTGTAGAATACCGTACCGAACTGCTGAGGGACATGGATTGTCAGTTCAATAGACAGAACCTTCACACTCAGCGGAGTTGTTGTTCTCTTACAGGCCATGGAAGACCTGGTGAGCACTGGACTGGTGAAGAACATTGGGGTGTCAAACTTCAACCATGAGCAGCTTGACAGGCTTCTCAATAAGCCTGGGTTGAGGTTCAAACCAGTAACCAACCAGGTAAACCGGTGGAAGCATCAGAGAGTTTAACCTATGTGGCTGGCTTCCCAGCTGCTACCTCCACAGGGCTCTTCTGGAAATGGGAGGATGGGGTGAAGCACAAAACAGGCGTCTTCTTCTCTGACAGCAGTCAGAATGGTAACTAAAGGCAGCAGCTAGCCAAATGGCTTTCTCGAAGGTGCGTCTGGGTAGGTGGTACTGTTAGCAGGCAGGGTGTGAGCTGGCACTTGGCCCTCCGTGTGCGATGCGGGCAGGTCACCAGTGTGCTCAGAAGTGGTCAGGGTCCTGGCAGGTGCCTCGCCCCCATTAGGGAACATGGGTCTCCCCTCCATCTCTTCCTAGCCTGCAAACTGCAATAAGAAAGCATGGATGGCCAGATGCCCTCATGCCAGGCTTACAGGCTACTGAAGCTGATGCAGGTTTTTAATGTAGAGAAAAGACTTGTGGGGAAAGAACCATTGTATTTTCTGGACTGGCTTTATATCATTTATATGTATAAGTGATACAAACTGTATAAAAATCATTTATACAGTACTTAAGCTTTTTATTGAAGCGTAGAAGTACACACGTAAAAGTTGAGCTGAATAAATTCTCATAAACTGAGCATAGCTCTAGGACCAGCATCTAGCTTGGTAAACAGCACACCTAGCACCCCTGCAACTCCTGCCCTGCAGAGCAAAGCATCGTTCTCATTCCCAGCAGCCAGGATTTGCTTCTGAACTTTACACAGATAAAATAATAATGCATCATAAACGCCTCTGTGCTCGCCTCTTTCACACAGCACTGTTTCTGTGCATGTGATTGTAGATGGTGCTCTCTTATTTATTGTGGTATTCTGTTGCGTGAATTGACCACAATTGAGTTATCCACTCTGCTGTTAGTGTGTTAGTGGGCACTTGGATAGTTTCCAGTTTGGGACTATTAAGAATAGAGCATCACTCTCTATTTTTTTCAATAAATATGCTTTTTTAAACAGTTCTGTATAGCATAGATGCAGAAAAGTATGTGAATCACAAAAGGCATACATAGCTTGATGAATTTTTGCAAGTGAACAAACTCAACTATTCAGTATACAAAACAAGAAAAAACCCTCAGCCATTCAGTGGCTCCTCTGGGGCCTGTCGTAGTCGCTGCCATGAAGAGCAACCTGGCTTCTGACCCAACTAATACAGTTCAGCTTTGCTTATATACAACCTTATATACGTTAAGTTTTTACATATGTGTGTATGCATAGTAGCTTCTGTTTTGTGTCAGTATTTTTAGTTGTTTAGCAATTTAAATACCTGGGAATGGTTATGGTATAGTCTGAGTAGACAAGGTGGGTTGGACGAGTAGAGGGTCTGCTTTTTGATAGGATGATGGATACCCAGGAACACAGGATTCAGAAGGTGCCAGAAGCTGGCCTCTCTTTTGGAGGCTTTCCAGAGAGGCTGATCTTGATGAGCTTTGCATGTTCCTGAGAGCGAAAGCACTGTTCATAGTTCTCTGTAATTTACACTAAATAAGTATTTTAAACCTCCTTATAACCTAGAATTATATATAAGAGTTTGGAGAATGTGCAAGAGACAGTGATCCTGCTCTCTGGCTTCTTAAAATATTCATTCAAGTCACCTGCAGCATGTATTTCTCACATGCAGTTTTTCTGTTTAATTCATTCATGCAATGGATATGTTTTTATTGCTTTCTATGTGTATGGGTTGTTCTTAGTGTTGGCAAGACATCCATAAAGAAAAAAAAAATTCAAACAAAATCTCTGTCTTCATGAGGCTTAGATCCTGATGAAAACAGAAAGACAATAAGCAAATATGTAAAATCTATGAGCTGTCAGTTAGTGATAGGTGCTGTGGAGGAAGATAAAGGCCGTGGGGAGATGGGAGCTGTGGAGTGTTACAGTCTTTACCTGAGTGCTCACGGAAGGCCCTGCAGAGCAGGTGGTATTGGAGCATTCAGACAATTTAGGTGTCCCCGAGGCCATAGACTCAGAAACCATGATAGCAGCTGGCCTCTTGGAGACTGCTCTGTCCAGGCTTCTCACAGCAGAAACACTCAGGCCTGGAGATGGGCCCCATGGTCCTCAGTGACAGCCAAGACTTCAGCGGAGGTCTTCTGCTGTAGAGCTTTTCTAGGACACTAGTGGTCTGAATTTTATGTAAGCTGTGATTCTGTTGTAGATTGAGTGCCACCCATACCTTAATCAGAAGAATCTGATCAGTTTTTGTCAATCCAGAGGTGTGTCTGTGACTGCTTACCGTCCTCTTGGTGGCTCGAGGTAAGGATACATCAGTGACATGTTAGTCAGAGGCCGAGTGGGAAGTAGATGCCACCTTCTCATTTCCTTGGGATGATCTGGGGAGGCCTTAATGGAGGTTTTGACAGGGTGTGGAGGGACGGGACCATAGAGGGCTGTCCACACCTCTCAAGCCTTGGATTGAAAGCAGGGCTTATTACTGGAAGGCGGGGAGTGGCTGTAAGTGGGCTGCCCTGGAAGGGGCAGGACCTCTTCAGGGACATAAACTAGCCTGGAGCAACCCCTTTGCTGAGTTCCCCATCAGGGCATCAGTCATCTGACCTCTTGACAAGGATGCTCCTCAGGCCTCTCAGTGGTTGGATGAGGCAAAGCCTGCTGTCATCTTTACCCAGGCCCTGCAACTGTCCTGTGCTGTCTAGATCAGCTAAGGGGCCTCCAGCCATTCAGCTACCTAAGCCAGAAGCTTGGAAATCATCCCTTCCCACATCCCTAATCCAATCCAGCACCAGAGTCTATTGATATTGATTATTCTGCCAGGAGAAGTTAGACTTTGTCTCATGATTTCATTTCTGCCATCTCTGTCACTGCCTTAATTAAGTACAATTCCCAAGGTCATTAGAGAAGCCCCTCAGCTGCCTCCCTAACCCACTCCATTCTAATCCATTGCTCCCAGGGTGGCTGAAAGGAGCTGTCTCCTTATGATCATGTCACTTTCCTGGGAAAAATTCTTCAGGTCTTGGTGTGGCCTGTGAGACATAGCCAACCTGACCACTGCCTGCTTCTGGCCTCATTCCTACCCATCCCTGTCCACATCCTGGGCATCAGCCACATGAAGCTGCTGTGGTTCCTTGGATAAAACATGTTTTCTCACCTCTGTGCCTTTGCAGATACTGTTCTCTTTATCCACAATATTTTTTTAATCTGGCAAACTCCAGTTTCTAATTTAAGGTTCAGTCCAGTATCACCTCCTCCAGGAAGCCCTCCTGACCCCTTATTTATGTTTCTTACATACCCCTTATCACGCTGTCTTGTGATTTTCTTCACAGTCTCTTCCACTAGTCAAAACAACCTGAGTGGTGGAGGTATCTTGTTTATTCTCTTCCCAGCTCCTAGCTCAGCACCTGAGACAAATTGGGAATGCCAAAAAGGCTGAATTCCTTGAGTTTTACCACCTGTGTGTTTTCCTTGTGAAGTGGTGCATGTGTGTTTGAACTTGCCACCAGCTGGAGAGTCCCTAGAAGGCTGGGTCCATTCCACAGCTGAGCTTTGGGGTAGAGGATCCTCCGATGGAGTGAGTCAGGGAGGTCTCAAAGATGGACTGGGGCAGGAAACTGTGCACTCTGTTTGCTTCCTTCAGGAGACCTTGGGGACTAGTACTAGCACAATGCCTGACACAGGTTGATGGCTCAGTACGCACTTGTTAAAGCAGCGAATCCTCGAAGTTCCCAGGGACCACCCATGCCTGAACAAAGGATGCAGAGACTATGATCATCTTCAAAATCACTTATAGTAAAGGTTTCACATGTTCACAATATTCACTTTTTAGTGGTATTTTGGGTGAATTTTTCTGAAATTATTATCATCAACAAATATTGATTCCTAGTGCTGTGCTAGGGCATACAGTAGAAGCTGAGAAGCCAGAGACCCCTGAGAGTCGTGGGGGAGTTAAAACTTGGGAGCCCACTGGCTCGTGCACTGATGTGGCCACCAGGTTCTTGAGGAAAAGCACAAAATACACATAAAAAGTGATGTCATGTAGCTGTATTCACCAATGTATTAGCAGTGGTCATCTCCAGACTGGAAATTTGGAGTGATGTGCTTTTTTGTGTTTTAAAATTTCCTATAGTCAGCTTGTGTCATGATGAGAAAATAAATCCTTCATTTTGGAGAAAGATTTCTCCTTTCTAAAGAAAGGGGCATCCATGTTGGATCTCCTGGCTCACTGCCCTGTGCTGTGTCTCTCTAGTGAGGGAGTTGACCTGATGGACGATCCTGTGATCCAGAGGATTGCCAAGGAGCACAACAAGTCTCCCGCTCAGGTACTCAGTGAGGGCTGTTCTGAGCCAGGAGTGCTCTGACCACTCCACATCCTTGGGGAGTCCTGGGGTTTGACAGGTCCCAGGAAGGGACTGGCTCACCCAAATGAGTCCATGACTCATCAGAACCTCCCAGCACTGAGCAGCAGAAGTTGATCTGCAATCGCATTCCCAGTCACTCACACTATGTACCCTTGCCTCAGAGCCTGTCTAGACTCAGTAGAGGAGTTTCCAGGCCTTTTCCCTCTGCCCCACCGACTGCATGCATGGTTAGTATGAGATGGAACAGAAAAGCTATTTATTTTAGTCTTTGTTCTAATGTCCAGTGGGGGCTGGGTGCATGTTAAGGAATTCTCATTAAGGCAGATTCCTTGGTCTCCTCCTTGGGCTGATGGCTGTCACTACCAACATACTGACAGAACTGGTTAAATGCCAGTAACTGTTGGGGCTGTCATTGACTCTTGGACTCTTACTGCACATTAAAACTCAAAATGTTAGAAAATAACTTAGACTACATGGGATTTCCCTTTGAGTGATAGCAAACTTTTTGTTTCCTTGCAGATTTTGATCCGATTTCAAATCCAGAGGAATGTAATAGTGATCCCCAAATCTATCACCCCAAGTCGGATTAAAGAGAATATCCAGGTAGGTGTTTTTCTTCTTTTATGTTAGAGGGTTTCAGATCATGTGTTAGATGGGAAGGGATGACTGCTGTAGCATACAGCCTCAGGATCAGCAGGGACCTCTCCCTCTGCACTGCGGGTATTGGTGGTTGACCTTTCACTCACCAATCCAAGGACCCAGGGTCCTTCCGTCTTAGGGCCCCCTCTCCCCTAGGGTCTTGGTATCTTCTCCATCCAGCCCAAGATTGGGAAGGCAGGAAGAGCATCTCATGGAGAAGACTTTTATGGACCAGGCTTGGGCATGTGCATCTGTCACATGGCTATGCCAGCCCACAGAGGAGGCTGGATGTCTCCTAAGTGTGTGCTCAGGAGAAAGGGGAGGCAGTCAGTGGACAGATCTCCACCTCCATTGCATGGAGGCATGCCTGCGTAGCCTGAGGGCACTGCTTTGAGTTGTGTGGGAGGGTTCTGGTCCCGACTCCTGTTTAGTGACTTCCGAGGCAGGAGTGAAGACTGGAACAGGTGGAGTGTGTGCAGAACACAGAGAGGCAGTGGTCCTTTTCAGGGCAACCCTTTCACCTTAGCCAAGACCCACAGAAGCATGTGAAATCTATTTTTGGAGTTATGTGTGGCTTCAACCCTGATGACATAGCCTATAACCCAGTCAAAGTCATGGACTTGGGATTCCCACAGGCCCACTCACCATTTAACTGCTGTCTGACCTCTCTAAGCCTTATTTCTTCATTAGAGAACCTCTCTGATAAGACCACTGTGAGGGTGAAATGTAATGACACAGTGAAGGGGTGGCATAGTGCCTGGCGTGAGGAAGTACCTGATGCTCTTATTTGCCAGTCACCCCCAGTCCCGGATGTCACCTGTGGTGATCTCACAGGCATTGACAAGCATCAGGGGCAGCTCACCACTGGCCATGTCAGCATGGGTGTGTGTGAGCCTGGGGCCAGCTACACAGCTGCATTTTGATAGACAACATGCTCTGGTGCCCAGGAGTCAGCTCCCTCTTGGTGTCTGAGCTACTTATGAGTTCCACAAGGCACTGCTGCATCCTCAGGGCTTGATTTGGTTGTGCTAAGTGAGCATTTCCATCAAATTTATTGACTGACCCATCTGTAGCAGTGCCTGTGCCCTCAGGCTTGCTGTGTATGCCAGGCTGGCTGCAGGTAGGCATAGCCCTGCCATTGGCAGGAGAGGCAGGCCACCCATGATGGGAGGACCTGGGGATGGGCAGGCTCCTCATGGTGTCCGCAGCGCTCTCCCTTCCGGGCCCTCATCCAGCTCACCTGCTGCCCACATCCTTCCTCAGGCATCCTGCTCTCTGAATGGCCCAGAGCAGCTCTGGGTGACCAGCCAACCTAAAGCCTGAAGAGTATGGATTTGGCTAAGCTATAAACTCAGTTCTCTGTGATGGCTGCTGACAGACTTCTTGGAATGAGGCTGCAGGTCTCATGCAGTGATTAGATTTGAGCATTGCTGACTGACTGGCATCTGCTCCACATGGGGGCCTGGCCTAAGGTGCCCTCTGTGCCCTGCAGGGCAGCCAGGATTGCTCCTGGGACATAGGCTTGGGGGATGGCCCCAGTTCCACCCTTGTGGCTGTCAGTGCCTGGGATCCCCATGGCCTAGGGGCAGTGAATGTGACATAGGGACCTCAGGCCCAGCTGAGATGCCCCCTTCCTCTGTTAGGTCTGCTGCACACTGAGGGCAAATGCCATCCCCAGGCAGTGAGACAGGACCAGGCTGATGTGAGACCTGAGGGCCAAAGCAGAAGTGATCTGATGGCTGAGGACAGAGAGCAGCATTGGGTTAAGAGGGTCCGTGGAAGTGTCCATGCTGTCAGGAGGAGGTGGGAGCTGGGTCCACAAGACTGACCAGGAGAAGAAAGGCACAGAGGTGCACAGGCACAGGGCTCCCAGTGCAGGGTGCTGGCCCAGCCCACCTCCTATCGCCCTAGTGCCATGCAGAACTGCTGCTGCAAGGCACCTGCCCTTTGTAGAGTCTCTTCTAGAATTGCTCACTGTTACCCTTAAATGCAAGCATCCCCCTACCCCGGCCCCAGCAATCTCCACTCCCTCCAGATAACACTCTGAGGCTACTTTCTCCTGGCCTCAGGAAGGGGGGAGGCTTTTGTGAGAGAGGGGCACTCCAGCTCCTCACACTGGGAATCACTCAATGCACTCCTCTTCCCCATGGGAGACAGTCACTCTGCCAGGCTGGGGTGGACGCTGATGCTGTGGCCATGGGTCCTGTTCCTCAGTATGTGGAAACAATAAAAAGGGAGGGAGAGGTGGGCCAGAATACTGTTCTCAAGGAAGAAAAACAGGTCACTCTGTGATATGGGTACTGTTAGACTTCATAGTCCCAGGGCCAAGTGGCTCCCTAGTTGGCAGGTGTATGGAACAAATGGTTTTGTTGGATTTTTTGAGGGTAGCAGGGTCAGTGGAAAAAAATCCTGTGCTTTACCTTTTAACTATTCTCCCATGTTCTTTACTCCACTAAGATGAGTGCAGTATATATTCCATCTTTCCAAGGCTTCCTAAATGTAGCCAGGACCAAGCCAATACCAGTCACATGATCCAAATCAAAAGGCATTTGGGAAATCCAGACTGTGATTCAGGGAAATTCCAGCTGTCTGATGAAGTGTTTCTTTTACGTCTTTGTGTCCCCTGCTGGTCTAGCACAGTGCTATGTAGGTAACATGTGCCCCATTAAATGTGAATTGAATTAAGTTTTCTATTAACATTGTATTTTGGTTCCAGGTGTTTGATTTTGAATTAACACAGCACAATATGGATAGCATCCTCAGCCTAGACAGGAATCTCCGACTGGCCACGTTCCCCATGTAAATATGGCTCCTTATTTTTAACTAGAGGGAAAACTATACAGATTGGATAGTTGATGCCTGAATAGGTATTTATCATATACATTTTAGATTAATGAAACCTTCTCATTATAATTCTTTTCTGTTTGAAGATGGACCATTGAGTGAAGCTAATTTCACTGGGGAGGTTAAAAGTATATATCATTTAAAATGTTTCTCTTAAAAAAAATCACTCTTTGTTTCAATTTTTGATTTATTTTTCTGTTTTTCAGAACTAAAAATCACAAAGACTATCCTTTCCACACAGAATACTGAGGACAACTTCCCCTTCCTTGTTTCTGCTCAGCCCAGATGCACCGACACCGTTAGCAATGTTGACCCTCCTCTGTTAATGGCAGCTGTGCCTGGGACAGGAGCCACACAGTCAGAGGAGGGTGCAAGAGCCTCCTTCTCTGAGTAATCTGGAGAACTGAGTGTGTTTTAAGTGAAGTCCATGGGGTTTCTCCTAGACAGGCTGTGTGGCCTCTACTCTGAAAAAAGACACTAATAACTCATGAATGAAATTTGCCTTCACATTTTAAGAAAACCTTATCTTATGAAATTATTTAAGCCATCTAAGAGCTGAGGAAACAGTGTAATCCATCTCTGGCCCATTGCCCACCTCCACCAATTGTGCCCCAGGCCAGCCTGCATCACCTTCACTTCTTTCTCTGCCCTGCCAATGACACCCAGGTTATTCTAAAGCAGAGTCCTTCCCTTTCCCCAGTGGGAAGGAAAATGGGATAAGTCTAGAGCACTGTTTCAGTTCAATAGAGAGGCTTTTTTCTCCTTAAAATCTGAATTTTAGTTTTTTCTTTTTTCTTTTTTTTTCTTTGAGACAGAGTCTCGCTATGTTGTTCAGGCTGGAATGTAGTGGAGTGATCTCAGCTCACTGCAACCTCCACCTCCTGGGCTTAAGCGATACTCCTGCCTTAACCTCCCAAGTTAATTTCTGGTTAATTTCTAAATACTAGTTTTTAATACGGTCTTCTGGTAAGTCAAGTTATACCTGTGGAACCCCCATAGCAGAGATGAAAATACAGCTCATTTCCTCACATCCGCTCATCAGCCTGTTTAGTTTCATGTATCAGGAAGAGGCCTTGCAGAGTGTGGTGTTCACACTCAGGTGTTGGTGGAAGATGTGGTTTAATGGATTTTGTGTGGGCTAGAGGACATGGTCCCTGTTTCTTGCTATCTGCTCAGCGAATCTGGCCTAGCTCCTGTGTCTTGGAATTCACACCAAATCTCCAGGGATATAACTTCTCAACTCACAGGCCCTTGGCTCCTATTCAAAATGAGTTAAGCCAGAAGAAAATTGATGTCTGCTCCATGGTCTCCTCCCTCTTCCTATATCCCCCACATCAATCAGCCTCCATATGAGCCTCTCAATTCTGTTCCCTCTGCATCAGGTTCAAGGAAGGCATGGAGGCCTTGCCCAGTGGCTGAAGGGGCCTGTTGGAGATAGTCCCCCTCCACATCACTTCCCATTTTCACTTTATCACAGGCATGCCAGCTGAGTCAGGGGTCTGGGGTCTGCAGATAAAAGTTGTGCCTTTCTAGCTCTGTGATCCTGAGCAGACGGCCTCACCTTCCACCCCTCAGTGTCCTTGTCCACTCAATGGAGGAATTGCAGTGCCTACTGATTGTGGAGACAGTGTCTGGCCCAGGATATGTCCCAGCAAGAATGCATTGTTACTACAACCACTATCATTGCCATCCATCTCCCTTCCCAGCCTTCCAGATGTGCAGGGACATGTAGGAACCTTGTGGCTTGGCCCCAAGAGAGGACTTTGCTGCAGGCGAACAAAAAGACGTGTGACTGGTGCAATAGCTTCATGGGAGGCTCACCCTAGTGGGCGTAAGATTGAGGATGAGGTGTCATGGTTTGACCAAATTGCCAAGGAGGGGTTTAAGCAGAAGACTGTTTACAAAGGACCCAGGAAATGGGAGTGTCTCCTGACACCGTCATATGATCAGGCCCAGCTCTACTACCATGCACTTTTAATTTTTCCATGTCCATGACTCCTTATCATTCATTAGCTGTGTGACTTTGTGTAAATTACTTAACCTCTTAAACCTTTAAACTCTCTGCCACTCTCTACCTAGAGGTGTTAGGATTAAGTGGCACAGTGCACATGGAGCAGGTGACAGTCATCTGCATGTTGGACTCTTGTGAACACGCACATGTGTAGATGTGTGACTTGTATTTTATCTCTCACAGAGTCAAAAATTTAACTGCTATTTTGTGAATTTTCCTTGTCACTTATACCTAAACCATTTTTCATTGATCTTAAAAGTAGGGAGTAGCATGGCGGTTACCAGAGTCTGGGGAGGGCAGGGATGGGTAGGTGGTGAGGAGAGGTTGGTCAGCAAGGATGAAGTTGCAATTGGGAGGAATGAGTCCCAGCGCCCCATTGCACCGTAGCATGACTTGGTTAACAATAATGCATTGTATGTTTCACCATAGCTGGCCTATGAGGATCCACTGCAGTATTTGCATGGATTTACTTCCCTGGCATGAAAACTGTGAGTGAAGCCTGCCACCAGATGGCGCTGGGAAGGACTTCTTGTTCAGTGCATTTGTGGCTCTAACAGGAGATGGCAGCCTTTTACTGTCTTTGATTTTAAGACATCTTCAATTTTGTATAATCACAGAAAGGAAACCATGGATAGCAAAAATAAGCAAACACTGGACAATTGCAAAGCTTAAAAAGTTTCACAGAGGTTATGCAGCCTCGTTTTTGAGCAGTATTCCTTTTCAGATTGTAATTGATAGTTCTGTGCTCTTGTCTCTTCATTCTGAGTGGACAAGCTGACAAGCCCTCCCCTTCCTCCGTCCCTGCTTTTCTCTATGGAATTTCTGTGTAAGTTCTTCCACACTCTGGGGCCTGTAGACCAAGGTCCAAATAGGAAGTGGAAACGTGTGTCCTTAAGGGACCCTCTGCTTCAAATGATTGTGAGCATCTCTCCTGACTTGAAGACTGGGAGATACTCTTGTTTCAGTAGCTGCTTCTCCTCAGTGGCACTTTCTCATTTTATTTGAATGGAAAATCCAAGGATAAGTGGCAATCAAAGGCTTAAAAAGCAGGAAGCAGATTCAGGAGGTGTGGGTGGCATCAAGGAGCAACAGACCTTGGGGAGGATGGCAGGGGCTCTCTGACTGGTGGCAGTTTATGTTTAATTGTTCTGAGAAACTGTTCCCCAAAGTACACAGGCCTACAGTCCCATCAGGAATGTGTGAGTTTCCAGTTTCTCCACACCCTCGTCAGGACATAGTTTTCATCTGCCCCTGTAGTTGTAACAGCTATTGTAGTGGGTGTTAAATGGTGTCTCATTGTGGATTTAATTACAATTCCTTACTGCCTAATGATGCAAGCATCTTTTCATGGGCTTATTGGCCATTTGTATGTCCTTGGTGAAATGGCCCATGGCATTCCTGTGAGTTCACTGTGGGGCTCAGGTTGACTAGGTGCACAGTTTTGGAACTGTGCATTTAGATACTATTTATTAGTGCCCAACTTTAATCAATTACACAATTCACATTTTAGCATATTTTTCTTTCTCTGTATTCTCTCTTCTGTTTTTCCTTTTCTTTATGTAAACATGTAATGTGCACCTTAAACCTTATGTGTCTAAAACAATGCTTCAAGCACCACCCCAGCTCTCCAATAAGCTTTCTTTGTTGTTATCCTTAGTTATAAAGATGAGGAAGACTTGGTTTTTCGCTTAAACACTCAAGTTGAAATGGGACAGGCAGGCACATAGAGTGACATGTGATGTGACAGGCTCTGGGTGGGTTAGGACACGTTTTCATTTTACATCATGAAATTGATCAAGACTACGTGTCCTTATTGTGTTTCCTTTTGCTTGTTATGCAGCAGATCTTCACAGGACCAAATTCTTTTACATATCCATACACTGGGGCAAATCAACTATCCAGACATAGATTAGCAATATTAGATGATGTGACATCCACTGTGCTGTGGTCATTGTCACTCCCGTTGGGATTCCCTACTCAAGCTCTGGCCAGAGAGTGCTGATGGGTGTGACTCCAGCTCCGGTTTCCATGGCCTGCCAATCGTCACTAGGAGGCTCGTGCTGGACTGGAAGCCACTCTTCATCAGCTGGTTTCTGGTATTTTGAACACATGGAGAACAAGGAAAACTACAATTTTTAGCGTGCATTTCTGTCACATATGGCCTCTGCCGCTTAGAATTCTATCCATGTTCCAACACCAATCCCTAACATTCACTAGCGCTAACGATGCTTTCTGTGTGCCAGGTACTATTCTATAAGTGTGGTACACATTTTAACTCAATCTTCACAGAAAGGATTTGCCATTATTTCCATTTTATAGAAGTAACCAAGGAATAGAGAAGTTAAGGAAATTGCCCACAAATACCCAGCTACTAAGTGAGGTAAGTAGAATTTGACTCAGGAAATCTGGTTTCAGAGGCTGGGCTCTTAATTACATCCTTTGTGGGAATCAGTTAACTATGTACTCTCTATCTTGGAATTAATCTTCCTAAACTATGTAAATAAGAAAGAGGGTGAGACTTCTGGTGTTAATTTCTGAGAAGATAGGACACATTCCAACCCCTGGGACTGGCATGTGGCCCAGTGGCCATGCCAGAACCTTTGAACACCCAGCTCCATTCCATGTGACACCAGTGGAGAACCAAACACTTCTTGGCAGTGTTGAGTTTTTTGGATGACAAAAACAGAAGAGCTCGTTAAGCCTGCAAAACTATTCCATAGGTGACCAACATTACTTCACCTGGGAAATCATTGAAAAACAATTACTCTGAGACATGGACTTGTGACTCACATGAACTCAAGCCATTATATGCTTAATTTAGTCCCAGCCCTGATTTTTAAACAGAGGAGGTATATTTAAATCCAGAAGGAGATACAGAAACTGTAATTTCTTGCCTAGAAAAATCAGCATCTCTAGGGGGAAGTGGAAGTCTCAAAGAGCTGAAGAGCATGAAAAAGATCACAGCCCTCATTAGTAAAGAAGATTCTACAGGCAGAAAGGGCCCTGAACAAATTCTGGGCAACAACTGAAACTGTGGTGCAATTAATTCTTGTAAAATAATGAGACAGAAATAGCTCCATTAATGGAAGGAGAATACAGTTAGAGACTACCCCAAAGGAGAATCTCTGAAATTAAGTTAGATTAAATTGGATCGAGTTGTGACAGCTGCAGAGACAGACCCTCACCACTGTGCCATCCCACCTGGTATCTAATGGATTTACACTGAAGCAAGTTAGGAAAACTTGCAAGCTGAAAATACAGCAGAGTTGGGCAAGGTCTGCTGGAATTGCTGCTGCTTTTTTATTTTCATTTTATTTTGTTCTTGCAGATTTAAAGGTTACAAGTACAGCTTTCTGACATACATATATTACGTAGTGGTGAAGTCTGGTCATTTTTTTTTTTTTTTTTTTTGAGACAGACTTTTGCTCTTTCACCTAGACTGGAGTGAAGTGGCATGACCTTGGCTCACTGCAACCTCCATCTCCCAGGTTCAAGCAATTCTCCTGCCACAGCCTCCAGAGTACCTGGGATTATAGGTGCCCACCACCACTCCTGGCTAATTTTTGTATTTTTAGTAAAGACAAGGTTTTACCATGTTGGCCAGGCTGGTCTCAAACTCCTGACCTCAAGTGATCCACCCACCTTGGCCTCCCAAGGCCTGAGCCACCGCACCCAGCTGAAATCTGGTCTTTAGTGTACCCATTGCCCAAATAGTGAACTTTGTGCCAAATAGGTAATTTTTCAATCCACACCTGGCT